ATTTTCTGCCAAAATAAAGATTGTAATTGTTTATTAAAAATTTAGAAATAAACAAATTATGGCATGATGGTAGTAAAATTTGAATTTTTATGAATGAATGAATACCGAAAATATTAAAATTAAAGTTTGATAGCTTTGGAATAATTTTAGAAATAAATTTTAAATATGAATTGGACATAAATGAAATTGGTAGATGTCTAAAATATGATTTTGATCTATTAGGATTTGGCAGGGTTCTGTTATGATTTAGTAAAGTGGGTATAGAATTTCGTAATTGTATGGAATTGGAAATTCGTAAAACTTGTTTAGGATATGGTATACTTATTTTTGTAGGATTGTGTAGAATTAGTGTTTGATTTGTTAAAATTTGTTTAAAATTTGGTATAATTATATTTGTCAAATTTGGAATAATTATTTGTGTAGGTGTAGAATGTAGAATTTGTATTGAATTTGGTAAAAATTGAATTTGATTTATTAAAATTTGTTTAGGACTTGGAATTATTATTTGTGTAGGATGGTTAGAATTTGTATTGAATTTGGTAAAAATTGAATTTGATTTATTAAATTTTGTTTAGGATTTGGAATTATTTTTTGTGTGGGATTTGGTGTAGTTACTTGTGTAGAATTTGGTATAGTTGCTTGTGTAGGATTTGGTATAATTACGTATGAAGGATTTGGTATAGTTGCTTGTGTAGGATTTGGTATAGTTATGAGTGAAGGATTTGGTACAGTTACTTGTGAAGGAATTCGAAGAGTTTCTGGTGAAGGAATTGGAATAGTTATTTGTGTAGGATTTGGTAAAATTTGATAAGTAAGATTAGAAGTGGAAGTGCATGAATTGTTTAAAATAGCAGTTGCGTCTTCGTCATCAATTATAGTCTTTGCTTCATATGTCGTAGGAGGTTCTAAAATCTTTGCGAATGATAAAGTTTCGATCTGTTCTTTAATGTCAGCTTGCTCGTAAGTAATTTCCTGTTCTAAAACCGAAACTTCTTCATAGTCATTTAACTCGTTTATGTCGGCATGTTTTGGGATATTAGGTTGAGTTTCTGGAAAGGGAGTCAATAAATGTTTATATTTATTAATTTTCCTTCTATCCATCACCCAATCTTGAAAGTACTTTGTGAGCTCTGGGAATGTGTCAAACTTTCTGTGCTCAACATGCCAAATATTACGACCAGCTATTTTTATATAAATAATATATTCTAATAATATAGGATGTTCATCAGTATGTAAAATACTAAAAGCATAGTGACTACTATTAACAAAATCGATAATTTCGAAAACGTCATCTGTCTCTAAAGTGACTATACTATTACCAGCAACAAAACTCGTGTCATGATAATATCTTTTTATAAGTATATATAAATTTATGAAAATTTTAGGATAAAATAAAGAGAATTGGAATAGGATAAACTGAATTCGATTAATATATACATAGGTTATCTTATACCAAGATTAATGTGGAATAACTTGTAATAAAATTGGACTCGTAGAATGATTTTCAAAAAATGACTCGTTGGATCTGCTAATTATTCTCTGATTTGTTACTCGAAGCTCTGCAGGTTCACTTTGTTGTACATTCAATATATTAACCTACACATTTAAGATGAGATTGATAAAATTGTTTAAATGAGATTTAAAAAAACATAGTAATAATTAAAAATAATTATGAACAGTGTGGTTAATTGGAAATAGTAATATAGTATAATTATTTAGTAGATATAGTGTAATGAAATAGTTAAATATAGTATAATAAAATAGTAAAATATAGTAATTTTACACTATATCACAAACAAGTTCTATAAATAGTATAAATTTTAACAATGAAAGAAAATGGTAATTAGAATATAGTAGAATTAGAATATAGTAGATCAATTTGTTTTTGAATATAGTAAATATTAAGAATATAGTTGTAAAATGTGTGATCAAATAGGATATAGAAAACAGAAATAGTTATTTGTAAGAAATAGTAGATTTAGTAAATATGATACTGTTTAGAAAACAAGATATGGAAATACTTAAAATAGTAGGATATAGTAAAATATAGTATAATAAATTTGTGTGATTAATTTGGAAATAGTAGAAATAGTAATTGAAATGTAATATAGAAGATGTAGTGAAATATCACACTAGTTACAATTAAATTTTTCTCGTTAAGTATTTTTTAATATGGAAATTTTGACATAGAAAATATGGAAATAACATATAAATATAGAATGAAATAGAATGTCTAAAATTTGGTAATGACCGTATAATAACTCTAATAAAATATGTATATGATACTATCCTGTAATGGCTTCCAAAATGCGTTCTTTTTAGTGTATTATGCCGTAATGGCGGAATTCGGGCCAAAAGAACTTTGAATACGCTGTGGATGTCTGCGGCTTGTGTCCAATAGTTTGCCCTTCTCTACTACAAGCTTTCCACGCTATACGTTCCTGTCCGATCCTCGTGTCCGATACAGAATACTTTCTTCGCTTATTTTATGACGTCGATGTGTTTTTCTTAATTTTGTAAAATTTACAAAATATTACCTCGCATACAGGCCTGTTTTTCAGTTCGTCGTACCGCAGCCACCAATGTTATACATTTGCCTTTAGCGATGGAGGTAATTTGATATTTTGAAACACAACACAAGTTTTCATAAATTTATTACATAATTTATTATACAGAATTTTATTAAAGGTTTACAGATAGAAAGAGACTGTGCCTTGTGTTTTCTTGTAGAGGTTCTCTGTCTAGCCGGAAATATAGGGTCCATAGAATGGAGAATGGAACTCAAGAGATAGATATAGTCCATAGATAGAGTAATGAGTATGCACATAGAGGCATAAATGCGACGGTAAAAAGGTAAGGGTGTCGGCGCATAACAATATCTAATTATACACGAAAAAACCAGCGCGACTGAACAACAAACGTTAACGAACAAAAATATAAATATAACAAATAGATTCAGCATTTTAAAAATATTATGAAACAACCTTTAAATTTTACAAATTAAATACATTTATAAATCAACAAATCAAAATTCTAATAATTACTTGAACAACTTGATTATCCATTTTCGCGCCAACCAATTTTGCAAATTACGTTAACAATGGCCCAAAATACATAGAAAAACCTTCTAATATCACAACTTCTGTACACTAAACTATGATAACCAAGAATTCATTCACTCATTCATTTCACAATTACTAATTTAATACTAAATTATAAAATCAAAACCCGAAATTGATGAATAACAATATAAAAAAAAATAAAACGACAAAACTGCAAACTTACACGAAAGAAAAAATAACCGCGAATTAACTAACAATAAAATTATATTACCGAGATCCTAAGTACTGCCGTCGATGGTGGGCCAGAATGATTACCAAAATAATTTATGCTAATTTAAGCATCTGATCGTTGAACTAACGAGAAGTAGTGCACGGCACATTACACTATTTGTTATGAATTTCCTTTCATTTATTACTTATAATTTTATTTTACTCTGATTTGTTATTATTGTTTGTACATTCGTGGTCTTTCTACAGCCTTACCGTAACGTCGCGATCCTGTAAGAAACTGACTATATTATAATTACTACTAATGAAAAGGCGTTTGATCGTGACTTGATTAACTAACCTATATTTACACATGATAATCACTTATTTTAAAACATTTCTTGTTCTAACATGCAACTTATTCTAGACTTATCTTTAACCACCGCGCAACCGGTATCCATTACATGTCCATACATCAGGCCCAATTAATTTCACACATATTTACTTCACTCTAAATATACAAAGTCTACTTTCGGTTTGGGGACAGCTTGCGAAACGCTGTCCCCCATGACGTTCTCTAGGCTCATCGAGTTCACATGTTTATAAAACTATTCCCAGTAGGTCGACAGATTTTAAAAAAATTAAGTGCTGCTTTTCCAAAGCTAGAAAAATTTCATAATTAATATCGCTTCATTGGCTTCGAATAGTTTGTCTAATACTGCATTGTGCCCATATTGAAATTATAGGAAGAAAAACTCATTTTTTCTTTCTATTCGCTAGTATGGCTGTACTCGTCTGTTAAGGGTTAATAAATAATGATAGTAATTAGAGGCAATTAGCAGTATTGTTACAAAATATACTAATATCTTCAATATTTTCAGTTAATAATTTTCTATTCTTTTTACTTTGGCAAAATTATATTTAAAAATTCAGAGTCTGAAATCTTCTTTATTGTGTAAAGTGTTCGGCCAAAAATTAATATGTTTTTGTATGGTTAACTTGAAAATAATGGATATTATTAAAGGCAATGCTACAAAAAAATTAAATCAATATTATTCTATTTGGTTCTCTTTTAGATACATTAACAAACCGAAAGCAGTGAAATGGTTTGAATTTGGTAAATAAAGATATCTATTTATCCAAATATCATCTAAGATATATTTGGTAAAATAAAGATAAGAAAGTAAAATACATATTTTTTAAAGTTAAAACTTTATAATAAAAATAAAACATTGTAAATCATTGTTTGAATAGCAATTTGTTAGCATTGTTAGTTTTTGTATCTATTCAATTATATTTATTGCATTCATATTTAGATTTAGTAGCTTTGTAATTTTAAAAATATATTTTGTAAATTTTGCAGGTTTTCATTAAAAATATGTAATAAAATTAATATAAGAAATGGTTTTTAAATTTACAGTCAATTTTGTTAAACTTTTAAGTAACATCAAAGATATGTTTGTTTTGTGATTTGAAAACATAACCATAAAGAAACCGTTACGTTGTCGTGCTATTTGGAATCTTAACAAAAACAAAACCGTTACGCCGTTGCATAACGATTTCGAAGCGGAAATATAAAAGTATGTGTGTCTTATTGGTTACGCAACCGCTATGTTTGACTTTTCGGCTGTTACGTTATATTAACGTTTTAATTACGTTTTGTGGTTTACTGGATTTTCAATTCAAATGTCTCAAAATGTTTAAATTGCTATCATAATTTATTGTTTCTAGTATAGCACAAGTGGCAAAAGTGATGTTGGCCTTGGCGATTATCATTACACACGGTTTAGAATGTTACGTAGCCATCGATATAACATGGATTGATTATATTGGTAAAAAATTGGAAGAGAATCCGCACAAGTTGTTCTACGAGTACCTGATTCGAACGTCCCTTGTTCTCATAACTTGTGGGTATATTATACTGATAAAATATATAAATAAACAAATATTTTAAGATCTACATATATATATATATATATATATATATATATATATATATATATATGTCGAGTATGTTTGCTCGGTACGGGTGTGTTTCTCTCTTCACAATGTTGCATTTCATAACTTTTAGTCAAATTAGTTTTTAAATCTTTTAGTTATTCATAATTTTTTCTAAAAAAATGTTTTTCTCTAATAAGTTATTAAGTTTAATTTTTTAAATTAAATTTTTGTTGAGTGTTTTTGTCCTGTGTTGCTGAATGATGACACGCATCTTGTGTCGAAACGTATAAATAAAAGTTTTTATACTTTATACCTTTTTTTATTTCGACGAATGGGCTGCTAGTTACTTTGAAATATGTTTCAACGTCGAAAAAACTATCAAGATATATATATATATATATATATATATATATATATATATATATATCTTGATATTGTTTATTTTGACTTTGAAACATATTGTGATTAGATTTTTCAGCCACAAGTCAAAAAAATAAAAACAGAACGTAAATATAAATCTTCTTTAATACGTTTCAAGCTATTTTGCTAGCTCATTCGGCTAAAATATTCAGCTAAAATACAAACAGAGTAATAAAACAAAGTAACAAAATAAAATAAAACAGAATTAAAATTATACATACCAAACCAGTTTAAAATTATTTTATACAAAATTTGACAATTAAAACATAAATATTTTGTTCTAAAAACAACAAAATATGTATATATATATATATATATATATATATATAGAATTTTGAAAAATAAAATTGAGTAATAGGACTATTTCGAATTCTGAAAGAAAAGATAATATCAAATGATAAAAAAATTGTTCAAATATTTAAAAAAATCAGATTTACATACATTAATTAAATTTTGATAGCTGTCAAAAAGCAAAGAAGAAGAACTTCCCTCATTAACACATTGCAAATTTAAAAAAATGAAAACAAATTCAGCAAACTTAACTTTTAGGTCAACATTTTGTTCAATATATAAAATAACAGGGATTTATTAAATCAAAGGTGTGTTTAAAATTTTGCATATGGTCTGAATTACATTTAGGCTGAAACATTCTCTTAGATATATACTGTGACCAATTGCACCGATGCACCAATTTGAAAACGTGTTCACTCAACGCCGATACAGAGCACTATAGACCCAATCAAAACACGTGCAAACGTACTAAAAAAGATTTATATTTACGTTCTGTTTTTATTTTTTCGACTTGTGCCTGAAAAACCTTATCACATATATATATATATATATATATATATATATATATATATATAATATACTAATATTTACCGTTCAGTTAAAATTATTAATTATTGTTTTTCAAATTACTATTTACATCAATATATGAGTGAATGTAGAACTGCTGAAATAAAATGATGATTCTCAATTTCCACAGTTAACACTTTAATTATCCCTTTAACAAATATTAAAATATGTTCAATAAAATTATATATTAAAAATTAAACACTGCAATTTATAGTACAAATTTATTTCCAATAGCTCAATTTATCTTAATGTCAAGGGTTATACAATTTTTAAGTCATACCTGTAGATGAGAAGTGTAAAAATGAATGATTTTTTGTTTATTCACGACTAAAACATTGACTTTCCAAATGTATCACGCAAAAAATCATCGCCTGTCTTTTTGATTTATAGCATAAGATACAAGTGTTGAAAATTAAAGTCTACTAAAGGGTATTACAAATTCAGAAAGAATTAATAATTAACATTCCCGGTAAAGGTACAATATCACATTAGTTTTTTCTACCCAAAATAATGGCTTCAATAATGTTGCCTGTTTAATTTAATTAGATTGTAATTACTCGTGTCACATGATATTACTTCTTATAAAGGAAAAATGTAACTGTGTATTATTCACTATTTATATATCGATGTCATTTTTACATATAATTGCCAAAAGATTTACTTAATGTCTATGTAGAACAGTTGTAAATATATTGTTGAATAAAAAAAAAAACAAAAAAATGTTGCCTATAATTTTTATATATTTGTACCATACTTTAGCTTGCTTTTAGTAATTATATCTAAATGACATTTTTCTCACTAATAAATTTATATACATTATTACTTAATCCTGTTCACATGTTCTCTATTCAACCTACGATCAACAAAATTGCAGTAAATGGAGAGGAAAAGACCGTGTATCAGAGTGAAACAAGGAAGGAGTGAAAACAATTTGCACTCCGTCACCACCTACCGGATTATCTTTTAATTCTGATTTTATCAATACTTGCAATACACAATTTTGAAGGTAATTAAATGAGCTACAACTTTCTCTATCATAAATTTTACCGTAACTTCTGTTATTTTGAAATGGCAAAGGATTGAAGGACTCGAAAGACAATCTGGTTGTACACTATCAATATTTGTGTAACAGAAAAACAATAAAAAGCAATAATTGGTCAGTAAAAGACCTTGAATTTTCATTTATATACCTTTATACGTATCTTTTATTTTTGTAAATAGATTTTTTTTTTATGAAATCATGAGTTTTTTGGAAATCCTTTGCACTAAAGTTTTGGTATTTTCTAGAATCCGTCAAGATCTCTTAAACCAAGTTCATTCCAGAGGGAATACGATTATTTTTAATTTTGGTGGAAATGGCACTCAATAACTATTTGTTTTAAACGAACAAAATATTGTATGCGTCTTTTATCTGCATGATAGCTCACTCATCTTACACGCAGAAGTACTAATTTTAAAGCTTATTTTGAGTACTATAAAACCCCATTTTCATATCTAGCATAATATTGTTCTTAAAACAATTTATAGAACACCGATTTATTAGGATTTTGATTGATATAATTTTGTTCATTACATGATTTTCGTTTAAATGTATATTTTTAGAAATAATTGCCAAAAACGACGAAAAACGCAAAAAACAACAAATTTTCAGTAGCCAGTAACTTAAATAGTAATTTCTTTTTTGAAAAATATTAAAAAATTTTCTATTCAAATTAGTTCTTTTATCAATATCCGACGTTAGTTTGAAAGAGATACAATAGAACCACTGAAAAGAGATGCCATACCCCGGGAAGTGGCAGGTGATTCTAAATTATTTTTACTTTTAAACTTGAGAGTAAGATGAACCTAATTCCAAAATTTCATGCTAATTGGAGCACATTAAAAATATTCAGACCCAAAATGCTCCATTGTCTTGAGTAAATATTTCGTATCCAATGCCAAACATATGAATTTTCGACACAATGAAACTTCTAAATAATTGTTTGAATAAATAAATTATTTTTGTATCGTGGTTTAGTAAAGTAAGGCAAAACACGACTGCATTTAAAAGTTAAAAAATAATAATTAGTCAAAGTGAATTGTAGGCCAAGTTTTATGTGCGATCACTGACAGACGCATGCGCAGACTGCATCACCTGTCAGGTGTTGACTGTATCTTATACTAAATCTTACATTATTTTAATTTTTAGCACATCTCAGCTTCTTTTTGGCGATAATAATGTAGTCCTCACATTTTTCTTATTCATAATCATAGATATGTTATATTTTAATATTGTTTTAGCCTATAAGTGAATGGAAATGTTTGGCAAATGACAGTCGTCTTTTGTTTTTAATGTCAAACCATGCCTTAAATATTTTCAAGGGCAAACAATGATAAGCGGTTTTTTGTGATTTTTTCCATTTATTTCTACAATCTAACTATATTTCTATGAATCAAAACATTCTAAAAAATTTCCCGAAAAAACTTCAGGAAGATTCATGAAAATCCGAATTATAGTTTAGGAGGATTAATGAAATTTACATTGTTTCAGATGAATTTTATATATAAGATATATATATATAATATATTTATATACATATATATACATATATATATATATTATATATATATATATATATATATATTTATATTTATTTATTAGAAATAATCACATTTATGTAGCTATATAATTATGTTCTTTTTTTCTAAGTATCTATGAATATTATAGTATTAAAAATATCTTCTGGCATAGGAATTTCTGATATTATATGCCATATTATCTATCACATTGTAAACTTCTGAAATAATAAAATCAAGTAATTTTAACTGCACATTTGAAAGACAATTATTTGGTATCTAGCCGTTTGCACTATCATAACCTCAAAAAAGCATGTTAAATGCGTAAATGTCAAAATAGCAAATGTCAAATCTGTTTATAGTACAACTTCTCGCCAATGTTATTGGCTATGTGCGAAGGCATGGAAGGGGAAGTCAAATCGACCGAAGCGTTCGTAGTGGCTAACTTGGAACACTAAAAGGGGCTATTATAAACAAAATTTTAAACAAAAATACATAAAATATTTATTTATTTCAAATTTAAATAAGATAATTGAAAATGAGCCACCATAGCTGTTCTGTAGTGGGCTGTAGAAATACCAGCAGAAAAAGTGACTGCAAATTCTATACATTTTCTACAGCTAAGTGGAAAGAAAATCAACGGGAAAAGTGGATCGCAGCGGTTAGAAGAATAAAGTAAGTATCATAACCTTATTGTTATAAAAATACAATTCGGAGTATTATGAATAGTTGTAAAATTGTTATGTTTAGCAAAAAGAAAAATTATAAGTCAATAAATTGTTGTATTATCAAAATTTAATGCTTACTAAAAAAATTGTTTTGTAAAACAATGTAATTAATACAAGCCTGAAATAATGAAAAATACATATTTATATATTGTATATTGATTATGTATAACTATTATCTATGTATTAATTACATTTTATTATATAATAATTGTAATTTTATGATTAAAAGAAAAATAAAAGTTATCACATAGCGAAAAAATGTTTATTTTGCAAACAGTTTAATTAATACAATGCTGAAATAATGCGAAATATATATTTGTAGTGTTGATGGATCACCGTGGGTTCCCAAGCATTTGCAGTGAATCGGTCGAGGTATTGAGTCCTACCTACTTGTCAACAATATTTCCTTCAATAAGTTAATTTCGAAAAGTTAATGTAGTTTTTTTCCTGCAATTTTATTTGATGGGTCTTGTCTTTATAATAATGTCTAAATTATGTCTTTATAATAATGTCTAAGTCTTTAGTTTGACCAAAAAATTGAATAAATTATTTTACTATTTACTTATTCTATTGATAAAATATTATTTATCATTATTATATTGTTTTTATTAAGAACTATTCCGAGTTTATGACATAAGCTATGAGGCACTTAACCTTACAAATATTTACTGCATTTCTTTATTTAATTAATCATTATACTTAACAATGTTTTAAGTACGTTGAAGTAAATTTAATAATTTCAATAAACATTCAGTGTTCACATTATTACTGTATCTTGTTTATTATTATTTATAACAATTATTTAATATCTTTTTTCTTTAACAAACATGTAAAACCCATGAAAACCACACACTGATAACCCCAATTAGTTCATATTTATTACGGCGCTGCATGGGCGCTGCAGTCACGCTCGGAGCGAATAGGGATAAGTGCGTGTTTCTGACTACTTTATTTATTTTCAGAGGGTTAGCGTAACATTAATGTTATCATATGATAAAACACATACCGCCGAGAATAAGTGTGAACTTGTCGTAAAATTGAAATCGAGAATTGGCCCATAAATATATTTATTTATTTATTTATTATACGCCAATTGGCTATATACAGTTAATTATACAGTAATGTAACATAATAATGTTAAACTATGTTATTTTTACAGACTCATACAAATACACATACGGGCACTTATACATACACTCGTACATACATACGTCCGCACATGCACTTATATGTAGACTCAAGCACACTAGTAATGGTAACAAATTCTAATAAGTGTTATTCCTTTTGACAATGTTGGTAAATGTATTATGTGATGAATTAAAAAAGTTTAGTTTTGAGCACTGTTCGTTGACCACCATTGCTACTCTGTTCATTGGACCGTTCAATATATAGTTTTTCGTCGTTTTTGAAGTCTGCACAATACGGTTAGTTCTTAATCCTTGTCTCGGGCATATCGAATTAATTTTTTCTAGAATCTCAGGGTAATCAATTGAGCCATTTACTGCCTTATGAAAAAAAAATAAGATCAGTAATTTGCTGTCGCTTGGTTAGGTTATTGTCCTCGCATTTCAGTAAAAAAATTTTGCTTTCATGTGCACTAATTCTTTTCGATTGCGCAAAGTGCTTAAGGTATTTTTCAAATTTCCGTTGCACTCTATTAAGTTTGTTGCTTGATAATTCAGTGTGAGGTGTCCAAACTATGGAGTTATATTCTAGAATAGGCCTGACGAGTGTGGCGTACAGAATGTATAGTGTGTCTATGCTATGGAAATCTCGACCACTCCTGATGATGAAGCTAAGCGTTCTTAGGACTTGAAGGGAAATTTTGTTAATATGCTGCGAAAAGTTTAATTTTGTGTCAAAAATAACTCCAAGGTATTTTATAGAAGTCACTGTGTTTATTTTTTGGTTTTCTAAATAGTATCATTACTGCGCATATATATATATATATATATATATATATATATATATAAATGAATAAATATAAATATGTACTTATACACACATGCTATATCAAAATCTGATCTATGAAAACTTGTGTATTATTTCAGATAAACTCGTATAAGTGCCAGCAATTAGGCCCACAAATCCAATAATGAACACAACACTATTTTTAGTTAACAGAATAGCTCTCTGGGTTCCATGAACCTGATTCCACTTTGTACATGTCTCTATGCAGGCTGGAAAGGCTAGACCGAGAGCTGATAGGCAAAGGGCACCAAACAAAGAAATAAACAACTCCAAGTTAGGGATGGCCACAGCCAACAAAACTAGAAAGAAAAACATATATATATATATATATATATATATATATATGTATATATATATACATATATATAAATATATACAGAAAAATATTTTTAATGTCAAACATTTTGAATCTTGATTTGACTCACCTTTTGTGCATGCAAATAATTTGAATAAAAATACAGAAAAAATGCAAAAATATAATACACGAATTAATTAAACAATAAGTTATATGACAATAATTTTTTATTAAATGATAAATTAACAAAAATAAAAGTGAAATTAAAATAAATTAAAAGATTCAAAAAGCTTTTCTCATCCAATAAAAATAATGTTATTCGTTTGGAATTTGTATAACAAGTAACATTGTTTTAGTTGTTGAACAAATTCCATTAGAATAACATTATTTTTATTACAGATATGTTGATAACATTATTACTTGTATCACCCCCAAAATTTTGACTTACTCTATCTCAATTCTTCTAACAAACATATTCAGTTTATTTTCGAAAAAGAACAAGATAATTCCATTAGCTTTTTAGATGTCACAATTATTAAAAACATAGATAACTGCTACCAGAAACCTTCTTGGTTAGGTACGTATTCAAATTTTTACTCCTACCACTCATCTAGTATAAAAGTAGGAACTATCATTAATCTAGTAGACCATGCTATCCTCCTTTTTGACAAAAAATTTAGGATCTCCAACTTAGATTTAATTTTCAAAACCCTCATGCACGAATCCTATTCTATCCCATCTTATAAAATTCGTCAGAAACAAAAGACTTATTATTAAAAAAAAACAAAACAATTAATGTGAACCCGAGCTTAACTTCCACAGAGGATAATGATTTTGAATGTACAATTTGACTGCCTTACATTAAGGAACTTTATCCTTTGTGGCAAAAGCGTTTTTATAACACAAATTTCGTTTAGTATGCAACATAGATTTGACGCTTGATTTTTTCTCAAATTTTGAAGACGCGCACTTGTTTAGAACGAGTATCAAATTCTACCTATGTTGGCGAAACAGGACAGAACCTCATTAAAAGTTTAAAACCGCACGGCAATAACACAAAAATGTCAAGGGCAAACGATGATCGCAGAACATTTAGACTTAAACAAAAATACGTTAAATTTTTATGACGCAAAGGTTCCTTGCTATGAGCCGACAGTCTCTTAAATATTTATATTTACATTTATATTTTATATTTATATTTATATTTATATTATATTTATATTTATATTTATATTTATATTTATATTTATATTTATATTTATATTTATATTTATTTTTATATTTATATTTATATTTATATTTAAATTTATAT